TTTCAGGCTTTCAGGCTGAAAACGACACAGGGCCTGTAGGCCCTTGTTTTCAGGCTTTTAGGCTGAAAACGACACAGGGCCTGTAGGCTCTTGTTTTCAGGCTTTTAGACTGAGAACGCTGGTCGGGCCCTGCAGGCCCGTGTGGCTGCGTAGTATGCCACACCCCCCCCCCCTCCTCGAAAGACCGAGCTTACCTGCGAGGGCGAAACTGTTTGTCTGAGGGAGGGACCAAAGTCCGGCTGGGAGGGGTAGGTCGTGAAGCTCCCTTACCTAACCTTTGTCGTTCGTAGTGAGCGTAGATCAGCGGTGCCGCCGCTGCAGATGCTTTCAAATCTGCTCCTGAAATCCATCGAGTGTCGTCAGGATCGCATGAAGGTAACTTTGTACTGTTGAGGCTTGCTGCAGTACTTGCGATTCGTGATGACGCAGTCAACTTCCTGATGACCATCCATAGATGGAGGATTTTGAGATCTTCGGCCCGGGAAGTCGTCGCTCTTAGCTGGTGTATATGTCGCCAGCTTCGAGGCGTGAAAGACTGGATGGACCGTCAGATGCGGGGGATGTTGATCACAAATGAGGGGCCATGGGGCTCATCGCCCGCGACTGCTGTTACGGGCCATGGTCCAAACCACTTGGGGAGTAGTTTGCGCGAAACATCCTGCTCGAGTGCAAACTCTTCCACGGAGACCCGAACCAGATCACCGGCGCGGATGGGACATGGCACGCGACACCTGTTGGCTTGCTGCTGTGTGCAAACTTTTGCATGTTTGCGTGGGCTTGAGCCAACAATTCTCTGTACTTCTGGGCGGAAGCGGGGGAGCAAGCAGCGTTTATGTCGGCTGTTCGTGGGAGGTGAAGATCAGTGAAGATACAACCTTTCCGGCCACCGTGGTGCAACTCGAATGGATTCACGCCAATCACCGGATACAACGAAGTGTTGTAGGCGAACTCGATGTCGGAGAGCCGAGGGAGGCGATCAACCTAATCCTTCATCCGGATGGATGAGTGTACGAAGCATCATTTGAGCGGTTTTATGTGCCCGCTCCGTTTACCCTTCCGTTTGTGGATGCCGAGCCGAACTTGGTTTCATCTTCGTGCCGGATTCCTGGATGAGAGAAGTCCAGAATGCCGACATGAGGCGAGTGTCGCGGTCGCTGACGATGTCTTCCGGTACGCCGTGGCTGCAAATCCAGCCGGTGTGCAAGAGGCGCGCAAGTTTGGGAGTCGTGGCGTAGTACTTGCAAGGGAGAAACCGCGCGTACTTACTCAAACGATCAACGACCGTGAGGATGCCGTCAGGCCCGAGGCGGTCGCGGGGAAACGGTTTGGTGACGTCCATGGCAATGGAGAGGCCGGGTTCCCGTGGGATAGGCATCGGGCGCAACTCACCGTAGGGATTGCAGTTGTGGGGCTTGGTTCGTCGACAAACTTTGTAAGAGTCACAATACGGAGTGACATCGGTAATGAGGAAAGGCCATCAGAATCGTTGTCGAAGTCGTGCAATAGTGCGATTGACTTCGAAATGTACTCGTCGAGAAGGTGAGTCATAGTACTCGTCGAGAAGGTGAGTCCGAAGACGACGGTCTCGTGGGACACACAATAAGTCCTTGCCTCGCGAGTGGAGGAGCAAGTACCCATCGTCGCCATCGACGATGCAATAGTGGCTGGCCGGCGAGTGATCCGAAGATAGTTGCGCATACAACGTGGCGAAATCCGGATCGGACTCATAGCCCTAGATGAAGTGTCGCTGGAGTTCCTCGTCGAATGCGAAGGCATGATGTGTCATAGCGCAAAGATCGGGTCTTCGCGAGAGTGCATCTGCTGCGCGATTGGAGAGGCCGACGAGATGTTTCGGTGTGAAGTCAAATTGGTCCATGAAGTACATCCATCGTCCAATTGTGCTGCTCACCATATCCTTCGTCTTGTAGTAGGTCAACGGGTTTTTGTCTGTGACCCATGTGAACCTACGACGCCTAAGGAGGAAGTGACGCCATCGCTTGAGAGCCATCACGAACGCGAGCAGCTCCTTCTTCCTTGCATCATCAAATGAATTGATGGGAGACACTTTGTGGCTGAAATACTCCACGGGGTGCCAGTCGTCGTCGTCGTGTTGTTCCAAGACTGCCCCAATGCCATAAACGGAAGCGTCAATTGTCACTCTCGTTGGCAGGGTGGGGCCGTAGATGCTAAGGACGGGTGCCATGAGCATGACTGTCTTGAGTGCTTGGAATGACCGGCGTGCGTCGTCATTGAATACGAATGGCACCTTTGGCGATTGTAATCTCGTCATAAGTGCGACAATACTTCAGTACCCGGTGATGAAGCGTTGATAGTAGCCCGCCAACCCCATGAATGAGCAAACGGCCGTGGTGTTGGTGGGCTCGGGCCATACGCGGATGACCGCGATCTTGTCCACAAGCGGACAGATGCCTTGCGACGTCACATAATATCCCAAGCACTCCAGCTCTTGTAGCGCGAATTCACATTTGTTGCGGTTGGCTTTGTACGTGGCTTATCGTAGCCACTCCAAAATAGTGCGCAAGTGCTCCACATGCTCGTCCAAACTCTGGCTGTACACCAAGATGTCGTCGAGGTAGATGAGTACAAATCTATCCCGCATGCGTTGGAGCTCCGTTGTTAGAGCCGCTTGGAATGTGGCTGGGGCATTCGTAAGGCCAAAAGGCATAACCAGCCATTCGAAATGCCCATATCGCGTCTTAAACGCGGTCTTGTAGCGGTCCTCCTGCCGGATCTCGAGTTGGTGATATCCCGATTTGAGGTCAAGCTTGGAGAAGAACTTGGCGCCGCCCAATCGTTCAAGGAGGTCGTCGATGCGCGGGAGAGGGCCGACGTTATTGACGGTTTGAGCGTTGAGTTTGCGATAATCGATGCACAACCACAAGTCCTTGTTCTTCTTCTTGACAAAGAGAACGGAAGCGTCGTATGGGGAGGAGCTCGGTCGAATCCAACCTTTCTCGAGAAGGTCGTCGAGTTGTGCCCGTAGCACACTTAACTCTTCCTCGCTCATGCGGTGGATGCAACCACGCGGAGGTACGACCTCGGCCTCGAGGATGATCTCATGGTGAATGGGTCGATCCGGTACTACTCTGTGCGGGGCTTCGAACACGTTGCCGTAGGCGTCGAGAAGCTCTGTGATGTGTGGATCCGTCTATGCGTCCGTCGAATCGAGTCGATGAGATGTCATGGGGAGGGAGGGCGTGGAGAAAACACACACCCATCTCCTCGGTGTCGTCCCGGGTGATGGAAGTTCGAATGCTTGCGGCGGATACCACGTTGCAGTTGATCGAAGGATGAGGTGGAGGCACCGTACACGGGACTAGTACTCCATTCGATCACGAACGTGAACGATGCGGCAGTAAAAGTTCACCGGGTGATCCTCGCTTCGCAGCCATGACATGCCCAAAATCATGTCGAACTTGGTGTTCAAAATGTCGCCGGCCACACAACCTCGCTTGCATACGGGGCAAAGTACACGGGGACGACATCAATGCACCAGTCGATTGACTTGTGCGTGTGACCGTCGGCCAACGCGATTTGCGTGGGCTGCGACTTCCAGGGTCAGCGCGTACCCTAAAGTCTTCGCTCATGTACTTGCGAGTAACTCTGCAATCGATCAAAGTGTTGCAGGTCGCCTCTCCGATCTGAATGCGTATGTACAACAATGGCGCATCGATGTCATCGTACCGTTGTGTCTTAAACTCGCGGTCGATCTTTGCAACGTAGTCATGAAAGTCGACAACCTCTACTCCGGCGTCCATCAACGGAGTTGGTACTGCAATGTACAAGTAATCCCATGAGCACGTTGCAATGCGGTTTCGACAATCGACCGGACGGGGGAAGGGGGCATCCATTGCAAGTCCGCGAACGTCAACGGGTCGAGCTCTTCAAGTCTTGACCATGACGTCGAATCCCCGGCGATAGATGGCGTTGAAGCTGCCGAATCGGTTGCCGATGGTGGTGAAACCGTGCATGCGGTGGATTGTTGCACGTGGAGTGGTTGGTCCAACGGTAGGACCAAGTGGACTGCGTAATCCTCGTAAGTGAACCAAGGACTCGCATCATTCGCATCCTCCCCAGATGTGTAGGAGGCCGTTAGCAAGGCGGTCGAATCTGGCGGAGTGAGAGGTGAAGTCGCCTCATCTCCCGCGGAACTCAGTTTCCCGAGTTGATGCGAGGTTGGGCATCCTCCTTGCCTTGATCCGGGCATTGGGAGGTCTTGTGCTTGGTGTTGTTGCACCAATAGCAGCAGCCATACCAACCGCGCTACTTTTATTCAGCCTCGGTCAAGTGAAACTTGATCCATGGTATTAGCTGTCCATTTCCGGTCGGCGATGCTGTTTTCGACTTCCCTTTTCCTCGGGAGTTGTTGTTGCTTTGCGGCTGGACAACGGCCACCTGATCTCCCTCACGTGATGCTTGGGACTGCAGCGACATGCTGCGGACGCGGACCAAATTTTCCTTTCTCCACATAGGTTGGCTGCCACGCTGACTTCTCGTGTGCAGCTGCCTTGTTGGTCTTGATGATCTCCCTTGCCTTACTGATGATTTCGGCGCAGGTCGTGTATTGCTCAGGATCACCAAGTGCGAGGCTCAAGGCGGCACATGACCGGTTGTAGAACTCCCAACGCAAATGCAAAAATGGCAACTCGAGATCGGGCGTTGCCACGATCTTTGGCCATTCCGTGAGCCAGTCACGTGTTGGTGTATTGCCTTGAGTCATGCTGAAGAGGCGGTCCATGGCGAGCGTTGGGGCGTCGTCCACGATGAACCGCTTCTTCCATAACCTCGTCAACTCGTCCCAAGAGATCTTCTTATGTAGATCGGCGACTTGGACGTTGTGGATGGTTGCCAGGTGGCTGAGCCAGATCTGGCATCCGCCCTTTGAGTTGAGGAACAACGCGCCGGTGTACGAGTGCTCAGGGACAAAAAGAATCCGAAGTTCCGTCGTAAAGCCTTCCCACCAGGGGACCGGGTCTTGATGCGTATAATCATCGAACTTTTCGGTGCGGAATATCGGCATCTTGTAGTGCCGCGCACTGGTGTTGCCATCCTTGTTGGGCAGCTGGTGCAGTTGCTGAACCTCGGTCTTCAAGGTGTCCAGCTGCTTGCTGATGGTGGCTGGTGCAGCGAAGGTGCTGATGTCGCCGAGCATTGCGACTACGTGGTAACCTCGTTCCTCCAATTGGCGGGTAGAGGGTGCACTGCTGGACTCTCCAACATCTGACCGTGGTGCAACTTGCTCCAAGTCCTGTACACGGGAATCAAGTGCCCGTGTAGCATCCTCGTGCAGATCCTTGTGGTTCCGCACCGCCCGTCGGAGATTCGCCAGATTGGACTCCAGGTGGTTACAAGTGTAAAACCGGGTCATGAGTTTGGTGAGAAACTCCTTGTGCTGCTCTTCCGGTGTCGCGTCTTCATGGTTCTCGGATGGTTCAGAATGCCAGAACTTGAGCTTTTCGAAGCTGGCAGCTCCGTGCCGCTGTAGCAGATCCTGAGCCTCCTTGCGGCGGACCTGGGCACCTGCATCAGCTTCGGCCTGAAGTCACTGCTTTTCAGCTACTGCCGCCGCTTCAGCCTGTAGTCAGGCAGCCTCGGCTGCCGCCTGACGCTGTTCCTCAGCCTCGATCAGTGCGAGCTGAGCTTGGAACCGCTGTGTGTACTCGGCAATGGACTCATTGGCCAGTTGGCCTGGCATGCCCAGAACTGAGACCGTCATGGTGGCAGGGCACTGCGGACGTTGGTACTGCTGCTGTCGGGGCACTGCTGACGTGGCACTGCTACTGTCGTGGCACTGCTGACGTGGCACTGTACCAAACCGGGAATGCAGGCAAAGGGTTGGGTGGGAGGGAAAACGTAGGAAGGTATCCAACCAAACTGTACTTTCCTCCCGGTCCTAATCAACAGACTAAAAAATAAAATAAAATAAAAGAAGAGACTCATCTCCCCTTTTTTTTTTTTTTTAATCTGTCGATTCGATATCAGTGAGGCATTTAAGGAGGAGTGCTATGAGTAAGATCTAGGCAAGGCTTCGCCAAATTTTCGGCTTTTCAAAAAAATAGCGATTTTGAAAAGAAAAAAAATTGTGCGAAGTAGAATAGAGATTCAATTTTCAGAAAATGACTAAATCCAGTTTCTGTGAATATGACAACCTCTATCGTTATTCTACTATGCCTAGAAAAACGAGATGCTAACATCAGAAATTTTCGGCTACGAATGCAAATATCAGAAAGTTTCAGATGCTAATGTCAGAGAAACGAAATGCTACTATCAGAAATTTTCAGATATTTGTTGCGTGAAAACGAAATGCTAATATCAGAAATTTTCAGATAAAACGAAATGCTAATATCAGAAATTTTCAGATAAAACGAAATGCTACTCTCAGAATTTTTCAGATATTTGTTGCGAGAAAGAAAAAATTTTGCAGAGATTTGACGGAGTCCAACTTGATTTACTAATAAACAATCAATCAATCATTCACAAGCAAGCTGGATACTTGATTGGGCGGATCCTCTGATTGAGAGGTCCGCTCCGATACCAAACTGTGGCATACCGTAAAGGTGCAGACCAGAACAAGAACCGACCTCTCTTGCATAGTACAAGATAGCACAGCGGAAGGCTTAAATACCAATGATCCGAACAATCAATGTTTAAATGCAGACCAGACATACATCATCATCATTCCATGGTGTGAAGGGGCCTGGCGCTCACACAGGAAGAATGCGCCAGTCCCCAACCATACACAGACGAAGAAGAGGGGGCTTAGACGAAGAAGAGGGGAAGATGGGAATGTCGTCAACACCAAGTTTTCAGGCTTTTAGACTGAAAACGACACAGGGCCTGTAGGCCCTTGTTTTCAGGCTTTTAGGCTGAGAACGCTGGTCGGGCCCTGCAGGCCCGTGTAGCTGCGCAGTATGCCACACTCTTCCACCCTCAATTGTCTTCATCTGCCGCCCCTCACCAAAACTTCGACCCGAATCCTGCGCGCAGTGCGTCATGGACCTCGCCCCCGCGGCCAACGCTGCTTAAGGGATAGGATTTAAAAAAAAAAAAAAAAAAAAAAAAGGAGAATTTGATGGAATTTCCAAATTTCTGTTTTAAAGTTTGAAGTTTTGAAATTTGAACCCATTCTTAATTTTGAAATTGTTGTGAGTCCGCTTTGCATACCGTTTTTTTCTGCTCGTCACGCAACAGTTCTCCCTGTGGATTAGCCGATGATTTTCCTTTACTAAACCAACAGGAATCAAGGGCATTGTGCTCCCCCCCCAGATTTCTCGGACCCCTTCCCTCTCCATAACCTCTCCTTGACAGAAATCCCGGTCTGAAGATATTTTTAAAAAATGGCTCTGGGGCAGGCAAGGAGACGGAAGGAGGTTCCACTGGTGCCCCTTAGTGGCTCCGTCCAGTCTTCCTGCGTGGTATCCAGGGTTTAAAAAAAAAAAAAAAAGTTGTTCTCAGAGTCTTCTCAGCCGACGCCAGGTAATGGCCCCAGTGCTTGACGCTGGGGCCGGTTCCCAGCTCGTGCTGCTCCCCACGAATAGATTGGAGCATTTTGTCCAAAAAAAAAAAAAAAAAAAAAAAAAA